TGGCAAGGGACAGGGTGAGGGAAGGAGGGGGTGACCGGGGACAGAGTGAGGGAAGGAGGTGGTGACAGGTGTCAGAATTAGGGTAAAGGGGGTGACAGGTGGCAGAGTGAGGGCCACAGTGAGGGGGTGACAGTTGTCAGTGAGGGAGGGGCTCACAGGGGGCAGAGTGAGGGGGTGACAGAGGGCAGAGTCAGGGAGGGAGGGGGTGACAGCGGGCTTAGTGAGAGGATGACAGCGGGCTTAGTGAGGGGTGACAGTGGGCTTGGTGAGGGGGCGACAGGGAACTTGGTGAGGGGGCGACAGGGAAGTTAGTGATGGTGACAGGGGGCTTAGTGAGGGGTGACAGGGGGCTTAGGTAGGGGGTGACAGGGGACTTAGTGAGGGGTGACAGGGGGCTTGGTGAGGGGTGACAGGGGGCTTAGGTAGGGGGTGACAGGGGACTTAGTGATGGGTGACAGGGGACTTAGGGGGTGAGGACTTGGTGAGGGGTGACAGAAGACTTGGGGGTGAGGGGTGACAGGGGACTTGGTGATGGGTGACAGGGGACTTAGTGAGGGACTTAGTGATGGGTGACAGGGGACTTAGGGGTGACAGGGGACTTGGTGAGGGGTGACAGGGAGCTTAGGGGTGACAGGGGACTTGGTGAGGGGTGACAGGGGGCTTAGGGGTGACAGGGGACTTAGGAGTAACAGGGGACTTAGTGAGGGGGTGACAAGTGTCAGTGAGGGAGGAGTAATTAAATACCTTTGCAGGTGTCCCAGGTGGTCCAGTGTCCTGGCTCCCTGGTGGTCCGGTGGGCCTCCTATCCGGTCTGCAGCTCTGCCGGGTGTGAGCTGCAGACCACGTGATAGGAGTCTCGCGATCTCCAGAAGTCAGAGCTCTGATTGGCTGGGGATCGTGAGACACTTCAGTCTGCAGCTCACACCCGGAGGAACTGCAGACTGAAGGCTGGCTCTCTGGGCGGACTGAGGGGGCCTCGCACCCGGCGGCATAAAGGGCAAGCCGCCGGGTCCCCCCTGATGTCGGATCCTCGGTCATGGACTGAGGATCTGACATGTATGTCTGCCCTAAGGTGACTTAGGCGACCGCGAGGCCAAAGCCCGCGCGAGGCCTTAGGCAGCCGCATAAATCGCCTAATTAGAGAGCCGCCTCTGGCTGATACAACAAATCTGATACATGTAGTCCCCACCTTGCAATTTGCAGGATGATCTTTTGCTAATATCTTGGTTCCAGATACTACAGGACACGTTCATAGATCTTGGAGTCCATGCCTTGATGCATCAAAGCTGTTTTGACACCACAAGTGGGACCTACACAATATTAGACAGGTTTTTTTTCAATGTTGTGGCTGATAAGTGATGTGACGGAGCTCCTGTACTCTGCATACCTCTGTTATCCTCAGCTAACACAATCGGCTCCCTGCTGGGCCCTTAAAGACCTAGAGGCACAGCACACAAGATGTCAGCCAGAACCCTCTTTCTCTGGATCGTACCCCCACACTGTTGCACATAGAAGGCTTATCAATATAGTGCAATCTTTAAGTTTGGATTCAAATATTGTTGAGTGGGTAAGGCAGTGGCTGAGTAACAGGCAACAGAGGGTTGTAGTCAATGGAGTATATTCGAAGCATGGGCTTGTCACCAGTGGGATACCTCAGGGATCTGTACTTGGACCCATTCTCTTTAATATGTTTATTAGTGATATTGCAGAAGGTCTTGATGGTAAGGTATGTCTTTTTGCTGATAATACTAAGATATGTAATAGGGTTGAGGTTCCAGGAGGGATAAGCCAAATGGCAAATGATTTAGGTAAACTAGAAAAATGGTCAGAATTGTGGCAACTGACATTTAATGTGGATAAGTGCAAGATATGCATCTTGGACGTAAAAACCCAAGGGCAGAGTACAGAATATTTGATAGATTTCTAACCTCAACATCTGAGGAAAGGGATTTAGGGGTGATTATTTCTGATGACTTAAAGGTAGGCAGACAATGTAATAGAGCAGCAGGAAATGCTAGCAGAATGCTTGGTTGTATAGGGAGAGGTATTAGCAGTAGAAAGAGGGAAGTGCTCATGCCATTGTACAGAACACTGGTGAGACCTCACTTGGAGTATTGTACGCAGTACTGGAGACCGTATCTCCAGAAGGATATTGATACTTTAGAGAGAGTTCAGAGAAGGGCTACTAAACTGGTTCATGGATTGCAAGGTAAAACTTACCAGGAAAGGTTAAAGGATCTTAACATGTATAGCTTGGAGGAAAGACGAGACAGGGGGGATATGATAGAAACATTTAAATACATAAAGGGAAACAACACAGTAAAGGAAGAGACCATATTTAAAAGAAGAAAAACTACCACAACAAGAGGACAGTCTTAAATTAGAGGGACAAAGGTTTAAAAAGAATATCAGGAAGTATTACTTTACCGAGAGGGTAGTGGATGCATAGAATAGCCTTCCAGCTGAAGTGGTAGAGGTTAACACAGTGACGGAGTTTAAGCATGCGTGGGATAGGCATAAGCAGTGGCGGATCCAGAGACTGATCTCGGGAGGGGCACTTGTAGATTATTTAAATAAATAATCCTGGCACAATAACCACTACAGCTCAGTGTAGTAGTTATGGTGCCAGTAGTGCCAGGATCCCACCCCAGAGTAAGTAGTCATACCGTTTAAGAACAGTTTGACAACTTACTTGGGATATAGGGCATAGGAGCAGTGGTGTGTGTTAGGGGTGCAGTGTGTGTGTGAAAGGTGCAGTGTGTGTGTGAGGGCGGCAGTGTATGTCAGGGTTGCAGTGTGTGTTAGGGGGCAGTGTGTGTGTAAGGGTGGCAGTGTGTGAATGGGGGGCACTGTATGTCTGTGTGGGGCAGTGTGTGTATGGGGAGGGTACTTTGTGTATGGGGGGGCAGTGTGTGTATGGGTGCACTGTATGTATGGGGGGGTCGTGTGTGTGGGGCAATGTGTGTATGGAGGGGCAGCAGTGTGTGTAGGGCACTGTATGTGTCTGTGTATGGGTGTGCAGTGTTTGTGGGGCAGTGTGTGTATGGGTGTGCAGTGTGGGCAGTGTGTGTATGGGGGCAGTGTTTGTGGGGCAGTGTGTGTGTATGGGGCAGTGTGTGTGTATGGGGGACAGTGTGTGTGGGGGGAGAAGTGTGTGTGTGAGGGCAGTGTATATGTGTGGGGGGCAGTGTGTGTGTGTGTATGGGGAGGAAGGAGGGTAGGGAGGCTTTAAAAAAGAAAAAAATTTTTATTTAATAAAATAAATTGATGTCCCCCCTCCCTTCTTACCTTTATTGAGGAGGAGGGGGGACATTTCTCCGTCCCTGGTGGTCCCAGTGGGATTCATTGGTGGTCCAGTGTGGAGTGAAGTCTAACCCGCGCTCCAGGGCTAGACTTCACTCTCGTGAGATTTGGAGCGTTGCCGTGGTAACCGAGGAGCTGCAGGCTGAGCTCCCGGGTCCTCTCTCCCTCCCCTGCCGGCTGTCAGCAATGTGCCTGCGGACCGGGGAGGGAGATCTCTCCCCGGTCTGCAGGCACATAACAGGGCTTGCACTTGTATAATGCCAGCCCTGCATTAGCCAGCAGGGGAGAATCTCGGGGGGGCAATTGCCCAGGATCCGCCAATGGGCATAAGGCTATCCTAACTATAAGATAAGGCTAGGGACTAATGAAAGTATTTAGAAAATTGGGCAGACTAGATGGGCCGAATGGTTCTTATCTGCTGTCACATTCTATGTTTCTATATATAACTGGAAAGCTTGACACCGAGCACCCTCATAGTCCAAACAGCACCCTGATCTAAGAATCTGCACTGAGTTATTCTCCAATTCGGCAAGGAGTTTCAGGAGTGTGGCGGCTTAGACCAAGTCTTACAAAGGGGATTTCCGGACCTCTGGGTCACAGAGCTCTCTTAAAGGACCACTCTAGGCACCCAGACCACTTCAGCTTAATGAAGTGGTCTGGGTGCCAGGTCCAGCTAGGGTTAACCCATTTTTTCATAAACATAGCAGTTTCCGAGAAACTGCTATGTTTGTGAATGGGTTAAGCCTTCCCCTATTTCCTCTAGTGGCTGTCTCATTGACAGCCACTAGAGGCGCTTGCGTGCTTCTCACTGTGATTTTCACAGTGAGAGCACGCCAGCGTCCATATGAAAGCATTATGAATGCTTTCCTATGTGACCGGCTGAATGCGCGCGCAGCTCTTGCCGCGCGTGCGCTTTCAGCCGCATGGGAGAAGAGGAGGATCGGAGGAGGAGAGCTCCCCGCCCAGCGCTGGAAAAAGGTAAGTTTTAACCCCTTTCCCCCTTCCAGAGCCGGGCGGGTGGGGGTACCTGAGGGTGGGGGGCACCCTCAGGGCACTATAGTGCCAGGAAAACGAGTATGTTTTCCTGGCACTATAGTGGTCCTTTAACCCCCAGGTATCCTCAAATGTCTTCCTGATTTTCCCTCAAAATAGCACTCTACTTGGATGTTGCGGAACT